GCACTGTCCTTTTCTTGTACCGGTGACTGCTTGCACTAATCGGGGTCTTCTTCCGGGACCCCAGTTAGAGCGCTCTGGCACAAAGCAGACGGAATCCCATCTGGTCAAATCATCCCCGGAGCCCCCAGGACCTCAGGACAACTGGGCTTCACAAGCTGGTTCACGAAAACTTAAGCTGACCTTTTCTCTTGTGCCACATCCTATTCCAAGTGCCTTATGGTATCAGCTTATTTCTTCCTTCCAACAACCAGCGGGGCAGTTGCTGTCGTTCCCCGTGTCTCCTAACAAATGAGCCACGGCACAGATGCATCAGGAGACAATGCGAGGCCGCACGGGGCTCATGCAGCACGGCCTGGGGCCCTTGCTCCTAAGCCTACATCCCTCTCTCTCTGATTGGCCTCCCTCCTCTGTCTGCAACTCATCTCCCACCCAGTCACAGAAGGTCCCTTGACTCTGGCAGTCTGCTGGGGCTCCCCAAGGGTGAGCTTCACGTGACTTCTGGACAAAGGCTCGCAGAAAGGTCTCTGCGTTTACTCACAGGGCCTGCTCTCCCATGTGAAGGAGGCAACGGCAGTGACACCGATACGTGGTGCTGAGTGCACTTCCCGGGAGCCCTTCTCTGGGCGTCTATAGCCAGCCCCCAGTCCGTTACCCCGCCTCTGCCTCACCCCTTTCCAGGCGCAGGTCAGGTGAATGGTGCTCAAGGACACACGGACAATTTCAGCGGCATGCACCCGGTGTTTCTTTGGCCCCTTCTCTTTCACAGCTCTGAGTGATAAATTCATGCTTACACCGGAGTCAAATCTTCAGTTTAAGACATGGTATTCAGGGGCACCTGGGCGGCTCAGTCAGTTAAGCGTCCGACTCTTGACTTCTGCTCAGGTCGCGATCTCACGGTTCCTGTGATGGAGCCCTACATCGGGCTCTGTGCTGGCTGTGCAGAGCCTGCTTGGGATTCTCTCTCTCTGCCTCTCCCCGACTTGTGCTGTCTCTGTCTCTCTCAAGATAAATAAATGCATATTAAAAACAAAATATCAAACTTACATTTACAGCGTAAAAAAATAACGATCCCGTATGCCATCACCCCGGTCAGGAGAAGAAACGTGAATACCGCCCCCACTCACCTCGTTCCCTGTGACCCTCCTTGATGACAACAGTCTCTTCCCACCTGTTTATATTTTCCTAACAGAGTTGTTTATTTATTCTTAGCAAATTCCCGTTATGCAATACAGCGTTTTCAACTACAGTCACCACGTTACGCGTTAGATTCTGAGACCTTATTCACCTTACAGATAAAAGCTGGCACCATTTTACCAACCTCTTCCCATTTCCCCTAAGCCCCAGCCCTGGCAACCACGTTCCTACTCTCTGTTCCTAAGAGTTCAACATTTTTTTTTTTTTTTACAGGATTCTACCTGAATCGTACCGTGCGGTATTTATATTTCTCTGTCTGGCTTATTTCACTTAGCATAATGCTCTCCAGGTTCATCTATGTTGTTGCAAATGGCAAGATTTCCTTCATTTTAAAGGCTGAATAGTATCCCATCGTGTGTGTGTGTGTGTGTGTGTGTGTGTGTATAAAATTATATAATTTATATATATTGAATCTTCCTGATCCTGTCCATCCATTGATGGACACTTAGGCTGTTTCAATGTGAATCATGCTACAATGAGCACTACAACGCAGATACCTTTTCGAGTGGTGGTCTCATTTCCTTTGGACATATACCCAGAAGTGGGCTTGCTGGATTATAAGGTAGTTCTCTTTTTCACTTCTTGAGGAGCTGCCATATGGTTTTCCACAGTGGCTGTACCCATTTGCATTCCTAGTAACAGTGTCAAAGGTTTCCCTTTTCTCCACATCTTCGCCAACCCTTACCCTTTTGGGACTGGCGCGAATAGAGTATTCGCTGTTTGCATGAATGGCTTGATCCTATACGTTCCTTGGGATCTTTCTTCTTTCCCCCCACATCGTGATTCGTCGTGTGCAACTGAAGTTCGTGGGTTTCCACGGCTACTCAGTATGGCGCTGATGAGCGTGCTGCAATCCACTGATCTGGTGTACTGCTGACGGGCATTTGAGTTCCAGTTTGGGGTTATCACAAACAGTGCCGCTGTGAATCCTTTTTGAAGCCCTTCTGGGTGACCTCACGCTCAATACACTGGAGATGTACCCAGTAGTAGAGTTTCTGGGTCAAAGACTATGGCAGTTTCAAGCTTTAGCAATTATTTTTGGTTGTTATTCTCCAAAGAGCCCGCCTAACTCACGTTTCCACCATTGGTGTATGAGGGTCCCCATTGCTTCATATCCAATACTCCCTACTGACTTGAAAAAAATAATAAAACAGTCGCGGGGCGCCTGGGTGGCTCAGTCGGTTAAGCGGCCGGCTTCGGCTCAGGTCATGATCTCGCAGTCCGTGAGTTCGAGCCCCGCATCGGGCTCTGTGCTGACAGCTCAGAGCCTGGAGCCTGTTTCAGATTCTGTGTCTCCCTCTCTCTGACCTCCCCCGTTCGTGCTCTGTCTCTCTCTGTCTCAAAAATAAATAAACGTTAAAAAAAAAATAGATGAGTAAAATATATACTAAGTGGCATTAAGAGCTAAGGGGAAAATTAAGCCAGGGAGAGAGTAGGGACTACTGAGGAACTCAGCTTTTGACAGGTGGCCAGGGAAGGCCTTATTTACAGGTGATATTTTAGTAAAGACCAAGGAAGTGAGGGCTGAAGCTTGGGGGTGCCTGAGGAAAGAGGCATTAGGTGTAGTCAAGGACCCTCTGAGGGGTCACGGTGGTGGGGACCACGCAAGCACGGGGAGAGCGGAGATGAGGACATCTGGACGATGCTTGGAATGCTACAGGGAGACAGGGCACATTCTAGACTTACTTTCCTTGTTTAATGTTTTCTAATGTTTATTTTTGAGGCGAGACCGAGTGTGAGCGGGGGAGGGGCAGGAAGAATCTGAAGCAGGCTCCACGCTCTGAGCTGTCAGCACAGAGCCCGATACGGGGCTCGAACTCACTAACCATGAAATCATGACCTAAGACGAAGTCAGACGCTTAACCGGCTTGCCTAGACTTGCTCTGGATGCAGAGCTGGCAGGATTTGCGGATGGGTTGGATGAGGGATGGGAGAGAAACGAGTCACAGGTGACTCCCCAGTTGTTAGCTTGAACAATTGGAAAAAAGAAACTGTAATGGGGAAGACTGGGAGAAGCAGTCTCAGCGGGAGTGGGAGCTGCCTAGAACACCACTGGGGTGATGTGAGGTCCAGGCATGAGGAGTCTAGTGAGTCTAGGAGTCTAGGCGAGAGTCTAGAATTCGGGGGAGAGTTCTGGGCATCCCACATGGCAGAACTAGCAGGGCAGACCCAGCAAAGTGGCCAGAAAAGTAGTAGCGTCGGGTGTCTTGGAAGGCAAGGAGCTCACGTTTCGAGAGAGATGACTTCTGACAACAGATCACTGGATTTAACAACTTGGGAAGGAATTAGTGACCTTGACAAACTGAGCTGTAGAGACAAAACCCAGGGATGGAATGGGTTCAGAAGAGGATGGGAGGGGGGTATAGAGGACAGAGGGTGTATATATAAACAGCTTTTCTGAGAAGTTTTGCCCCGAAAGACAGGGACGGAAATGGCTCAACAGCTCGAGAAAATAGGGACAAACCTGACGTGGGAAGGACGGAGGCTGTAAGGTGAAAGACCAGGGTAAATCCACCAGCGCTGTAGTGAAGCTAACTGGTAATGGCTTTGCTAAGGGATTGCCCCCCCCCCCCCCCCCCCCCCCCCCCCCCCCACTGCTGACCTTGAACACTGGGCAACAGCATAAACAACTGGCAATGACATACAAGTGGTTAATCCTGGAGCACCATTTTCTCTACAGAAGCAGGACACGGCAATATCTGGGCTGAAAGGTCATGTTCCCTGGCTCCCTCTGCTACAAGAAGAGCTGTCACATGGAGAGTGTTGACGGATGCTGTCTTTGGGCCAAAGCTTAGCCACACCCTTTTCCAAAGGTACAGATGTTGTCCCAGATCTCTTTTTTTGTCTCCCTCTGGGAGGGACCAGTCTATTTAATCCTGAACCATTCAGCCCATTCCCTAGTCTAGGAATATGGTTCAGCAGGTGGTCACAGTCAGGTTTCTTGTGTCCCGGATTTGTCTCCAAATGAGATTTTTTGAGGTTTTCGAAGAACAAAAGGTATCCAACTTCATGGGAATGCTCCCACCTATACAAAAAGGGCAGGGCCCCAGTAAAGACTTGTTCCATTGCATTGACCGTCTGGGAAGACTGGAGAGACAGGACATTTGAGTAGGAAAGGTGAGAACAAAAAGGAAGGAAGGCCCTAAATTATTGATGTGTTGGGCCCCTTACATTCATTACCTCATTTCTCCTGGGGAAGGTCAGGTAAATATTACCCCCAATTAACCGGTAAGGAAACTGCCTTGCCTAAGGCTCCAAATCTGGTTTGTTGCTGCTAGGTCCCATCCTAAGAAATCTATCCCCTTTGGGACCCATCCTGGGATGACGTGGTGGTTAAATAGGCTTGGTGACCCTTGGTGCTTGCATCAATTTAACTCACGCTAGAAAACAAATTTTCTAATGCAATCGTCTTAAAACATAGATGTGATCCGGACTGTCCCCTCTATTCCAAGGACTTAGACATGAGCTGGGCTGCCTCTAGCGTCTGATAATGCGGGACTGACCAGGATGAGACAGGATTCCTTCAGAGCTATTTAGTTTAGTATAAATGGGTTTTCAAATCTCACTGAAGAGCCTATTTTGTGGGTTTTATTTGATTTTTAAAAATCTGACTACAAAAGCAATTTATGTTCACGGTTAACAAATGTGGAAAAGTCATATCTTATACGGAGTAAAAAGCTCTCTGCAATTCTGGCACACAGATGTAATCACCTTTTCCCTCTTTGGTGTGTGTTAAGCCTATTTTGCAACCCAGACTTGACCTGGGCTGTGCAACAGAACAGCTCACCATCTTTAGGGCGCCCTACCGCCGCCCGCACGCACACCTCCAAGCAAAAGCTCAGGGCTTCCAGGAAATCCTGCACGAAGCTCGAGGCGGTCTGCAGCGGACCGCGTAGGCAGATTCCCTGCCTGCAGCCGGCGGTGTAGGCCATCCCGGGTCCTTGGTCGTCTGCCGCCCAGCTCGCCGGCTCCTGACTCCGGGTTCTGCGCACCCACGTGCCCTCCCAGCACAATACCCAGCAGTTCCGCCATAAATGCTCGTTTACGGGGGGTGGGGGGACTTCCAATTTCCCGTCAGGGGCTGATTCGAGAGTGCAAGCCCCGGAGGCGGACCCCCGCAGGCCTTCCTGCCGCACTCCAGCCCCAGGGCCTCCGAGCCCGGGCTCGCCCACCTCGCGGGGCGCTGTATCCGCCACCGCCCAGCGTCTGCTGCCGGGACGGCCCCTCCCCTCC